GGGAGGGCAAGCCACCCCATCTCCAGGGATGGCCAAAAGAAACCAAACAAAACACAAAACACCCAGCTGATATCACCAAGGCTAATTGATAATGGACAGGGAGGGGTGCAATTTCAGAACCCTGCAGTGCCATACTAGCTGTATCTTGGGAACAGAGTTTAGGTGTGAAGAGAGAAGGTGATCAATAGCATGGAGAGGGGGAGACCGAGAGAACTTTTAGTTTTTGTGCTATTCTGTAATACTTAAGAACTGTGCCTTTTCAAAAGATCCATCTTTAATACTGGGCCCCCTTGACCCTCCCCCCTTAAAAGCAATTCTGAGATCCCCAACAGTAGACAAAATCATTGTGTTGAACTGTTCCATCCTTAAATCATGAGAAAGGGTCTTGTTCTTTGTTCTTCTCCTTACCCAACTCCTTCAGGACAAGGGACGCCACCTTCTCGGTGGTGGCCCCAGAGAATGGAAGTCCATCCCTATAGAAACCCACCTGGCATCTCTCTCCTTTGCCTACCATAGGGGAGGTCAGCAAAGACATTCTTATTCTAAGTGTGTGTTTGTGGCAACTGTTTTCAGATTCTGCCACTGTATTTCACACTGATCATTTTGGGGTTCATAACATTTGTCATGGCAACTATTCTACAGTTTCAGTTAAATGGACTGAAATGCATGGCATCTTGTTTTTGTTCTAGATTAGGAAAGGAAACTTGGAATATTTCGGATGAAATTCAAACAGACGTTAAACTCTGGAAGGAGGGGCGGCGTGTTTACATTGAAACATTAACAGCGCCCGATTTTATTTTTTTTTATTTTTTATGTGACAACCTGATATTGTCAGAGCCAAGTGAGATGACACCGACTAGTCATTTGACCTAGCTGCCATGTTTGTCCAAACTCACTGTGTGCTTTTCTCTGATGTTGCGTCACTGGGACACATGCACTACACTGCTACAAAAAGGGCCTTCCAAGGTTGACACTGCACTTCTCAGAAATCTGTTGCAATAACTAAAACCCCAAACCTGGGTGATTATTTACCTCATCGGACAGCTGTGAAATTTTGCGTAACGAAGCTGTACCTTGGCCCCAAGTGTGGGTAAAACATACTTACTTGCCTGGGGAAAGTGATATGTAAAGACTAGGCCACAATTTAGCAAGTAATTAATCAAGAGGATTTAATAGCACATTCCTAAGCATGTCTTCTCAGAAGTCCCAGAGTTCAGTTGGACTTAATCCCAGACATGCATTTAAGAACTCCAGTCTTAATTGTGGCTCACGCTATGCTGGGTTGCAGTTTGTTTCATCCAGTTTAGCTTTTTCGCTATAGAACATTGTTCCCCAATTGCACAGACGACCTAAATGTATTCCCCATCCCCACCAAAGGCATGTCTTCACTTCTAGGAACTTTCATCTGGTTTGCTTGCAGAATGGGTCAGTTTATATATCTGGAAGAAGCAAGTGGTAGACATTTTTCAGTCTTACCCAGGAGAAACTGGACTATCCAGTGGGATGCCTGTCTTTGGTTTGCATCATTCACCTGGTCGCTCGCTATTAACCCTCCCCTCCCTTAAGGAAGGTGGATGACCACTAGAGGAAAAGTATACAATTGCACATTCCTTCTGTTGACTGCTGTTTGCTCATTTCTCGTTAAGGAAAATACTGTAGATTTTGCACAACTCTACTTGACTCGCACACACACCACGGATCAGTGACAGGAGGCCCCAGGGCCAAATCCTGCCCTCTGAGGTGTACAAGCTGGTCCAGATACAGGAGACATGTGTGACACGTTAAAGGAGGGTAGTCATGGACCTTGCAAAACTGTGGCTATCCAGACACATAGACTGTACAGGGGAATTAGTGTATGTGGGGAACACCAGACAGATAACAAACTCTACTGTGTTATTTTGATTATATTGATGGAACTGTGGTTTGCGTCTTTTTATGCTTTGTTATTGTTGTGAGTCACACAGAGCTCAGCTTTGTTCTTGGCATTGTTGGGGAAAGCAGCATACAAATATCAAATAAACTTGTGTTACCCAGCTGTTGTTGGACTACAATCCCCATCATCCCCAACCACTGGTCCTGCTAGCTAGGGATGATGGGAGTTGTAGTCCAGCAACAGCTGAAGACCCAGGTTTGGGAAACCCTGTCCTAAACCTACTCTTGCAGCCAAATTACAGTATACCTTCTTTGGCTTTCTGGAGCATCAATGTTCTCCCTAGAGCATTACAGTCTTTCATGCACACATCACTCAGGATCTGAAATGGGGGTGTGACCAGAAGGCCAAATAATCCCATTGAACCCCCAGTTATCAAAAGATCCACTGACAATCTTGGAAGCCTCCAAGAATCTAGACAAAGCTTCTTCTTTTTTAAAAAACAACTCAGCCTAAGCTGTAAACTTTAAATAATCCTGTTTATTTCAGTGGGAGAGAACTGGGCATATGTTTAACTTCCCTATCTAAACATGCTTTAATTTGAGAGTTCAAGGGTTGGACGTACCATTAAGCAGAGAAAGACAGCTTGGGGATTCTAGAGAGGGAACTGGATCTCAAAACAGACCAGTGCACTCTGGCAAAAGGGAACAAAAACCTGGCCTTTCAAATAGAAGAATCAAGGTTGGTTCATACATTTCATAGTCATCACTTATTAACTTACATGTGTGAATGGACCTTCACAAATCTGAGATCACTGATACTACAGAAACCTTTGTCAAGTTTTCTAGTCAGTATGGCCAGCAGTCAGGGATGATGGGGAACTATAGTCTACCAAGAACTGAAGGGCTACAGGTTCCCCTCCCTTAACGTAAAAGTTCAAATGTCATTCTTAGTGTCTATAAATATAATGTAAGAAACAGGATCAGCCAGCATCTTGGCATCACTTCCACTTAAGAAAAAAACTGATGGAAGCCTAAGGTGCTGGCAGCCCCATTAACTGGACAAAAAATGTCTCCTCGGTGTTGTGGAGTGCAGAATTCTCCCGCAGTCGCCAGAGGTTGTTACGTGCCAGATAAGAAGTTGGCACAAGATATCCAGTTAATGCATCAAGAGGGGGAGCAAACTCTGGTGCGACCTCTCCCCCATCCAACTGAATGCTAATAACTAAACGAGTTCTTCTGTTTTGTTTTAATTCCGCTGACTGTTACATAATCAGAAGGAAAGGCCTGAATCATGCTGAAAGATATACAGTGCCAAATACACATCTGAGTACCTCAAACAGCTCTAATATGCGCGCATGCATGCATGCACACATACACCGGCCTTGTCCGAAAGATCATTTATCTGTTTGCATCTGCTGCAAGTACGTCGCAAGTCTCAGACTTGTCAGATAAAACAAACTTGAGCTGGAATGTTGGCACAGATAGTGTCTATTACCTTTTCTTTTTTAAAAAAAAGTTTCAATTTGCCTTGCTTTTACAATAATTAAGAAAGAGGTGTGAGGAACCGGTCGCTTTGTGTGTAGAGAGGAGGAGGCCGGATAATATGTCCTACTATCATGCCCAGCTGCTATGGGGAATGATTTACAGTTTAATGATATAGCAAGCATGTGGGAGAATTCCACAAGGTCCACTGAAATATCAGATTATTGCAGCCCCCAGCTAAAGAGACCAAGTTCTATCGGTGTAGGAACATACAGATCTATTTATTTTTAATAGTTACACAGAAGTTTTAACTGGGAGGGTGAATCACTTTGGCTTACGAGCTCTTCTGCATAACTCCAAAATATGTACACACGAACCAAGAGGAACAGGCCTAATAAAATAGACCATCTTAACAATTTTTAAAAAGTGTGTGCACACCCAACTCTTGTTCTCTGGGAGTCTCACTGCAACAGACGCAGACGTTCAGTATTTTAAATCCCATTGATTTCAAACTGGCTGCAGTCCTGTGTCCCTTTACTTGGAAGTAGGCTTTGCATCCTAGAAAACTGCACAGAATACACTGCGTGTCATTAACACCAGCGAGCCTTTAGAAGCATGTAACTTTGGCTGGATCGTGTCTATCAGTGCCAGATCTGGAGCTATCAAAGCTGTGGCATGGACATTCCTGATGGGATTGTTCTGAAAGGTGCACGGTCAAATCGCAATACAGAAAGAACTGCAGCGGCTAGCAGTGGTTTTCGAAGCTATGCCCCCTGGGGAATGAATCAGGGTCTGCGATGGCATCCCCGGAAAGCCTGCTTTTAGCTCTCACATGAGTCAACAGCAGGTGAAAAGAAGCCCAAAACTTCGGCTGCGTGCACACCATCAATTTAAAGCACGTTTAAAGCACTTCCTCCGCCCCACAGAACGCTGGGAATAGTAGTTTGTTGCGGGTGCTAAGAACTGTAGCTCGGCGTGAACTACAGTTCCCAGATTTTGGGGGGTGAGGGGGACATTACGTTAAATGTGCTTTATAGACACACGCACGCGGTACGCCTCCCCGCCCCCGCGCGCTAAAAAATAATAATAATACTACAGGATCTCCTTGCAACCTTTCAAAAAAGAGCTGCAATCCCCTGCGCCAGGTCCTTACCTGGGTGTCCTTCCCCTACGGATTCCGATGTAAACATGAACGTCCCTTCGTCTTCATTCAGTGTGTGGTCGCACAGGCTATCCAGCGTCCCATTCATCATTTTTGCTCTCTTTTCTCCCTCCTTCCTGTTAACGCTTTCCTCTGCGTAGGGAAGAAGAAATCTCCTCGGAAAAGAGCAGCGCAAGAGATCTGACGTTGGCAACCTCTCCCTTGGAAAAAGGCAGCAAGGCTGCGCTTTATTTAAACCGGCGGCTTCGGATTACACCTCCCCGTGCGTAAAGCGCAGGCTCCCCGAGGGCGCGCCGGAGACGCACACGCGACGGAAACGGCGGGTCTCCCTCTGGCTAGAGCTGTCACTCCGCCCGCCTCCAATATATGGAAAAGCGAAAGTGCCTCGGCGATCATGTGAGGAGATCGGGAGAGCCCATTTCCTCGCAGGGGAGAGGGGGAAAGCACGCTCCAAAAAGAGGGGGGAAAGTGTGCGCGCGCAGGGAAGATCTCTCGCACGGATTAGGAGAATGCCTTTGTCTGCGCCCCCCTGCGGATCTCAGCAGCTCCTGAAAGGGCTGTTCTTTCTTTCTCTCGCTCTCTTTCTCTCTCTCTCTCCCCCCCCCCTCATTTTCTTTCGTGGGGAGGAATGCAGAGGAAAGTTTCCCGAAGTTTGCGCGCTTCGCGGTTGCGTAACAGAAATGGCAACGGTCGGGGAAACTGGCTTGGCTCTTTGCAGGAAGCGATGGGAGATGGATTGGTCTGAGATGATGCAATATTCGGAGCGGTTGTGCCCAGTTATGTAACTTTCCTTTCTCCCTCTTCGACGATTCCCCTTCTATCTGCTGAAACTATAATCTTCCGTCTCAGGGGCATTTTTACCCCAGTGGAAAGGAGGAGAAAGAGTGTTTTTTTGTGTTTTTTCAAGACACCCTGAATTTTTGGGCAACTTCGCACTATAGTGTCACTATAGTGTGGTATTAGGGCCCCAAACCCAGGCAGCAGCTGGCACTGGACTGCGATGCTGGCATCAGGTCTTGTAATATGTATGGATGAAAAAGAACTGAAACATTGCTCTGGAGCTGGTTCACAAGGACTGTCCTGTTCTCACTGTGTTCAGCCAGATAACTTAGGAGCTGGATATGAGCACAACAGCAATTTTTTCTCCAGCATCTAGTATCCAGAGGCACAAGGAGGCCAACTTGAATAAAATGTTGTTGAGGGGGGGCAGGTAAGCCCCTCTCCACAAAATTCATGGAGGATAAAGCTATCAGTGGCAGCTATGTCACCTCCAGTATCAGAAGCAATATGCTTCTGCATAGCAGCCAACTTCTGGGGGCTGAAGTCCCTTTGCCCCCCCCCCCCGAAACATTTGAGGGGGTTGCCTCTCCCCACCAAGTCAAAGGGTATTGCCATTCAAATGGTGCACGTTTGCCATATCTTGTGATCAATTTTGGGGAAGCGCATAGTTAAACTATGGAATTTGTTGATGGCCACCAACAAGAGTGTTGCAGCACCTTGAAAGCTAACAAATGTTATGGCGTGGCACAATTCGCAGCCCTAGCTAGGAGAAAATGTCGTGGTAAAAAATGGGCCACATTTTTAAAAAATATTACAGGAGAACAGGTTTAAGTGTCCTTCCTCATATATCTCACAAATGAATATGTTTTGAGACCTTTTAGTACCTGGAGATGTATGATGGAATTTGCCTTGGGGTAGGAAAATGTCCCCTAACTGTACTTGAGTTAAAAGATTTGTTTTGTTTTTCAGTTTAGGAAGTCCACTGTTCTGCACCGAATACAACTTCTGAACATTTCCCCAAGCCAGCTCTATACAGGGTGCATTTCTGTACTCAAATCTGGAGGTGACTGAAGTGGCCAAAAACTATTTCTGAGATGAGGCTGTAGTTGATAAACCAGCTGTGTGACTGAAATGCTTATGGTCCTGGGCACTTTCACATGACCTTCTTATTGAGTATTCCTTCTGACACAGTTGTGGGGAGGTTGAGTGAAGTTGCATCAAAGCAGCTTTTGAGTTCATTTCTCCATTACTTTCCTTATCACTAAAAGCCTAGTCTTTGGGGGAAGGAGGTTTGTTACGCAGGTGCTGATCAACTATAATTGTGTGATGTACATTTGCTAGTCTGTGATTGAATTCTACTCAAAAATAGCAACCGTTTGGAAGCACCTGCTACCCTTCTCCCCCTCCCCCCCAGGTTCTTCCTTCACATCTGCATGACTGGAGCAGCGTTGAGAGAAACTACAGAGTAAAAAATGCTCCTCTCCTACTGCCAGTAAATGCGACTCAGCCCTTAGGCCTGTACTGGAAGGAACGCACATGAATGCAGCCAGAATTAATTAAATGTGTGCATAATTGCCATTCTACTTTTTCAGGTTCTCCAGGTTTTCCCTATGTCTTTGATCATTAAAGCAGATCTCACAGTTTCTGTGCCTTCTGCACTGTTCCCCTCGAAAGTGGGTAGATGTGAACTGACACTAGTAATTTTTTTTGTGTGTGTGATAAGTATCTGGGAAATGTTACCATTCTTCTAAAAAGGACCTAGACCGTCTCTAAGAAATCTTTGCGGGTCAAGCCTTGGACTGCTCTGGAATGCAGTCAGACCAAACCTGTCAGGGAATCGTTGGGGGATAACAAGATCGGGGGGCTAACTAAGGGCCCATCTACATAGATTCACAAAATCCAGATTTTCAGTATTCTGTCATCTATAAGTCTATACTTGAATGCCTTGTATTTTGATTGTACCCTGAAAACCTGTTTGAATAATCCAGCATTTCTGGATCTCCTCTCCACGTTTCCAGAATCTGCAGTGACCACATGCTGGTTGGTTGGGTGGAGTTGTGTACAGGGTATTCTGTTTTGCTGTTGATCCACCTGTAGTTTGGATGGGTCCCTCTAAATGCCGCTTGTTGGAAATGGTGGCTATCAAATGAGAGCCCTCTGAAGATGGGTAATTAACACAGATGGCTAGACCATGCTTGCTTAATGTAAGGTTACCAGATTTTTTTCAATGAATCTGGGGACACTTTTCAACTTCAGCCGGAATGCATGGGTTTTGCTAGGGGCTGATTTGTAAATCTGGGGACTGTCCCCGGGAAACAAAGACGTCTGGTAACCTTAGCTATAATAATAATAATAATAATAATAATAATAATAATAATAATAATAATTTATTTATACCCCACCCATCTGGCTGGGCCTCCCCTGCCACTCTGGGCGGCTTCCAAAAGAATATTAAAATACTATAATACATCAAACATTAAAAGCTTCCTGAAACAGGGCTGCCTTCACATGTCTTCTAAAAGCCTGGTAGTTGTTGTTCTCTTTGACATCTGGTGGGAGGTGTTCCACAGGGAAGGCGCCACTACCGAGAAGGCCCTCTGCCTGGTTCCCTGTAACTTGGCTTCTCGCAGTGAGGGAACCGCCAGAAGGCCCTCGGTGCTGGACCTCAGTGTCCGGGTAGAACGATGGGGGTGGAGACGCTCCTTCAGATATACTGGACCAATGGACCAAGGCCGTTTAGGGCTTTAAAGGTCAGCACCAACACTTTGAATTGTGCTCGGAAACGTACTGGGAGCCAATGTAGGTCTTTCAAGACCGGTGTAATGAGTATTGATGGCTGGTGGCTGCCATTTATTTCTCATATTCCATCTGCTTGGGCCTGGTTAGGCTAAGGACAGCTTGGTTGTCCTGAAAGAGCTTGAAGACTTCACAGCTGGCAAAAAGCAGCTACCGCCGGGAGGGTTTGGTTAATGCATGCTCATCCTGTTTAATGATTAGCAATGTGCCTGGTTGCTAGCCTATTCCTCTGTGCTCAACTTGTAAACAGACCTGTATTACAAAAGCACCAGGTGTCCATTGAATGACCATGCAAAAAGCTGACCCTGCAACTTCCGTTGAAACGTTACCAAGTAAGATAGCATGGAGGATGCTGTTCTGACTATGGACACTTATCGAAGGCCACCTTCAGATTGTCAGAATTCTGCGGGAGGGATTCAGGTACCTACGCGAAATTTAGATTTGCATTAAAGCGCTCTGTTGCAGCAAATACGCTGCAATCAACCTCCCCATCAACAAATTGGAACAAATGTGCACTAAAAAAACAAAGTCTAACCTCCTGTGTCAGCTTTTTGCAAGCAAATCAGGATGAATGCTTGCTAAGCACTGGAGGAACCCCAAGCCCATGAAGGACCTCCAGAGATAACCATGTATCCAACTATGCTCTTTCGGATGTATAAGAGAGCAGCTTATGATGCTATCATACAGAGCTGCATATCCATATGGGCCATTAACAGCAGCAGAATTGCAGTAACCCACCTGAGAAGCATCTTGGTGTGACTTTCTCCTGATATACAGTACACATCTTTGTATGCAATTCTTCCTAACAGTGCACGACTACAACCCTCTGCCCACCACCCAAATAGATTTATTTTGTAACTACTTCCAAGGAGCCAACTTGTTCCAACTTTCTTTTGAAGCGATTCCACCACCTGGTAACAAAGACAGAAATTTAAAACATTAGAAGAAGGAGAAAGCCGTTTGTGAAACAGATAAAAATGGTTTACAGGAGTTGAGGGACTTTAGACATTTACTTTGCTCAAATGACCTGTGCAACTTGTTCTGGACAAGATGAACTTTAGAGGGGCTGGTGTGCAAATGAAGTAAAAACAAGGAAGGATCCTACATCTGGCAGATGTTCACTGTTGCTTTTATATTGATAATATTGCTATTATTGACCATGTCGCTTGCTGACAGGGAGTCCTTGGAATTGAATGTAGGGGCATTGAACTCAACAGTGACTGTGCAAACATTAAAGCAAAACACTGCTCTCTGACCCCAGCACATGCCTGGAAGCCAGAGGTGTTTGGCCCCCAGAGCCAAAGGACACACACCTTCCAGACCCTCCAAGTGTCCCTATTTTCCAAGGACAGTCCCAGATGTACAGAAGCTGTCCCGGTTTCTGACTTGATCCCGGAATTTCCAGCTTTTCCATAGGACGTCCCTGTTTTCATCAGAGCAATGTTGGAGGGTATGGCGTTACGTAACCCTTAAGCCTTTAGAAGAAATCTGAAGGCAGCCCTGTATAGGGAGGTTTTTTAATGTTTAATTATGTTTAAATATATATTAGAAGTGGGTGGGGCATTATTATTATTACTGAATAGGGCATCCCTATTTTCATCGGAAAAACGTTGGAGGGTATGCCCTTCCCAGTCTGCATTCCCTGTCCTCAGGCCACAACCCTCAAAAGCCCTGATCTGTGCTCTCAGGTGGGTTTGCCTGGCTCTTGCCTGCCTGGATGGATGGAGGATACAGAAATATGAGGTGTGGTTGTGTGTGGAAACCTATGTGCTCAGTAATGTTGCTCCACTCACTTTTGCTCCAGGCCCCACCTGCCACAGGTATACAGCACACCCATCCACCCAAGGTTGTCTGTGAGGGAATTTGGTAATTTGCTGCTTACCATCCAGGCTGCCGGGTGTTTCACTCTGTTCCTACTAACACCTGAACAGCCTTGCCCTCCTCTGAAATACTTTTAAGTGTGCACACACTCCTGTTTTTCTCCTGCCACCCGGGCCAGAGAGTATTTCCCCTTATTCTTTCTGATAATGGGATTGTTGGTTCACTGCTCTGACATTTTGATACTCATGTTTTATTATGAAACTGATTTGAATTATTTCTTCTATAGATAAGGTTGCATTGGTTTCCCCGAAACATGCTTTCTGGCAAGCCTTTTGGAAAGCCATAGCCCGAGTGCCTCTCCCTCGCTGTATCTTTTATTTTGATCCTCGTTCAGTTACCTTGAAAACCAGGTGACACATAACGTAAATCAACATAGGTGGAATGGGTGTGCCAGCTCTACTTTCACTGAACTGCGTGAAAGTGCTGAGGATATGGGTAGATACTGAAAAGAGAGGGACCGTAAACAGAGAACAAAATGAACAACTTTTGTCCATCTGTATGATGCAACTTAAAAAGAAAAAGTTCAGGTCACGAAGATCAGCAGCAGTGAAAGAGGTAAAATGGAAGACTTTGAAGAGGTGACATAATGGTATTACTTTGCCCTGCTATATTGGGAACCACCATAGCTCATTGGTGGGTTCTCTGCTTTGAGTACAGAAGGTCCTTGGTTCAATTCTCGGCTGTCACAGAGCATGCTGGTCAGCAGTCATACTGTTCAAAGTTGGAGTTAACGTTTTATTAGCAAAAACACAATCTCCACAGACTTGGCTGAGTGTCTGGCCTAATGAGCAGAGCAGCTCATTCCTGGTGGTCTTACTCCATGAAAATCAGTTGCTGAAACTGATAGTCCCTGCCTCCTTACGGCCATCTAAGTCCCCTTCTCATCAGGGCTTTCCCCAAGCAACCCGAGACTGCATCTGTGCATCGTCAATATCTCCTTCAATGCTTCCGTGCCTCTTCTGGTTCTGGGAGACCAGGGAGGGTTGGAGCTTGTCGCAGCAAGAGACAGAGACACCCATGATCTTCACCAGCCTGACTCATCTCTGCCTCTTGGCCTCTCTCCTCCCACCCACCTGCTTCAGCTTCTGCCTCCGATTCTGGACTTTCCTCTGTCACAACTCTCCCCACTCACTAAGCCCTGTTACATCTTCAGCTTCTGACACCTCCTCCTCCTCCAAGTCTTTTCTCTCTTCTCCCTCTGATCGTCATCCCACCAGCACTTCCCAAGCTCTGAGCATTCTTCCCTTGGTGGTTCCCCAGCTGGTTCCTCCCACTATTCCTCTTGTGTCCAACCAGTCCATGACATCAGCATCTCCAGGGAGAACTTTATTTTTAAAAAGTCTAGTACATTTGGGCAAATGTTGTATTTGTATCTGTCAGCGCAACCCATCTGTGTGTGGATGCGTGAAGCCGCAAACTGTGGAGTCAGCAAAGTGGAGGTCCAGCTCACAGTCATTCCCAAAGTGATCATAGGGGGCTGTGGCTGAGCTGGGCTCAGGGGAAGAGTGTATCCTACCAGGGCTTTCACCCACTAAACCTCATGCAAGCCCCTGTGATTGACTTTGTTGGGGCTGGAGATCTGATAAAGCTCCGGTTGTGCCAACCTCCAGTTCTACACAGATGGCAGAAGATGTTCCTTCCCCAAACCATACGGCCTGTATCTCTTAAAAGATGGGAGAGGGAGGAAGAGCAAGAGTTAGGATACATCCTATTGCTTTGCCCCTTTGCAAGAAATGTGGGAGATATGGGAGTGCAGGAAGAAGACTTCTTCCTCCTCTTGGGTATCCCTTTCCCACCATGATGAGTTGTGGGCCCTATTAAATATTTGGCCTGGGAAGGGGAGGTGTCCAATATTCCAAATGTTTCAATATTCCAATATTCCAAAATAAGGAGCGTTAACAAAGCAAGTTTCACCAACTGCATCAACCCTCACTTCCAAGTGCTGTTAAATTTAATTGAATTCCTTCCATTTAACTTCCATGTTTGCTGTTGCAAATGAACGCTCTGCAAAGCACGCTATGCTCATAACCGGTCACCAGTGCTGGTTTCTTCACAAGTTTACAGTTATCGGCTAAATAAATAAATCCGTCCACTTCCTACCCCCTTTTTAGCCTCTGTCTCTCTTTCTGATCCATGTACAAATAGCAAAAACAACATTGTTTGAGATAATAATGAACCAAGAGGTGTGCTGCAATGCAGCCAATAGCCAGTGTTCAAGAGCCTGTTTGGGAGGTGGGGTGAAAACACAGAGGAACGATTGGTCGGTTTCTTCCCACACACCCAGAAACTCATCTGAGACACAGCTGCAGGGAACTGGAGTTGTTTGGTGTCACAGAATGTGATTTATTTCTGTGATCTGGGTCTGGGTTTGCTACTTGACTCCTCTCACTTTCATCCTGCGGTTTCTTCCCCTGCAGATCCTATTATCAATCAAGCCTCTTGCATTTAACCACAAACACACTGCCTAGTGAAGGACTGAAGAAGTGCATTTTATCTGAGAAAGCAAAATCTTTTCCCACAATCAGATAAAATTATCATGGGAGTGTACAAACAGCTTCCCAGGTCATGCATAAATCCAGAATCTAATATATACCTATATATGGTTACTGAGGCATGGGAGTCAATGAACTTCAAAGGTAAAGGGACCCCTGACCATTAGGTCCGGTCGTGGTCGACTCTGGGGTTGCAGCGCTCATCTCACTTTATTGGCCGAGGGAGCCGGCGTACAGATTCCGGGTCATGTGGCCAGCATGACTAAGCCGCTTCTGGTGAACCAGAGCAGCGCACGGAAACACCGTTTACCTTCCCGCCGGAGTGGTACCTATTTATCTACTTGCACTTTGGCGTGCTTTTGAACTGCTAGGTGGGCAGGAGCAGGGACCGAGCAACGGAAGCTCACCCCGTCGCGGGGATTCGAACCTGCTACAAAATATTGAATGTGAATTGAAGTTTATGAGCTTAAATGCCTGTGAGATGCACATATCCACCCTAGCTATTTGTCCATCATCAAAACAAGGTGGATGGATCATTTGACCAGTGTGGCTTGCAGTAAACTTTTTAGCAGCAGTGGGCAAGCGCATACAAACCTCTAGCAATATTTCTATACATGGGTGCATGGACACCCTACAGACACAGTGTATGAACCAGCCTGTTCCCTGAAGTTGTGTGATGAACTCACAATGGCTCTTAGATCATTATGAGCCAGTTGTCAAGTGTTGGTTGCCCAGCACAGGAAACCCACATTCAAGTTCCTGCCATATTCACGTCACCGATACATCATACGGCCTTGGGCAAATCTCTGGAAGCGCAATAATACTGGTGCATTTCTTCATTTTTCTGACAGCAGGTAACAGGCTTCCTTTAACAAGTACTCCAAAATAGTTGTTAAGTGACACCTTGTAATCTACTAATGCTCGTATGGAAATTTGCGTCACACCTTACAAGAAGTGACGGGTCACTGCATTTGTACAGGATGTTGCCCACAGCTTCTGTGAAGCGTTTCAAAAGGCAAGGTCCATAGGGAAAGATGTGGAGGAAACAAACCTTGGAGCCTCAGCGAATTATTAGTCCCTGGGTATGCGTGTGTAGGGTTGCCAGCAAGTCCACACTTTTCTGGGCCAGCCATTAAGGGTTCTGGGCCAGCTAACTGGAACAGGAGAAGTCTGGAAAATGAGTAAACTGGGATTCTGCAACAAGCGTGCCTAACTCTGGTCCATGGCTTGCCTAATTATGCTGGGTTCCGCTCAGTCAGTAGAGCATGAGACTCTTCATTGCAGGGTCAAGGGTTCGATCCCCACATTGGGTAACAATATGCCTGCATTGTAGGGGACTGGATGAGACGGCACTTGTGGTCTCTTCCAACGCTACAATTCTATGATTGTCCAATGCACCAGAACCCATCCTGCCTCCACCCCGACTTGCCAGACTCAGCCGTGCATTGGCTCTGCCCCATCAGGTTCTGTCCTGGCTTTGCCTGTTCTGCCCCAGGCCCAAATCTTTTGAAGTCAAAAGTTGGTAACTCCGGACTCTCCATCAAACATTATGAAAAATACACAATCGGAGCCATTGTGTAGATGTAGCAACGAGATCTTTTTTCCATCTACATTATCCAGATTTCTCTATACAGTGGTACCTCAGGTTACAGGCGCTTCAAGTTACATGCGCTTCAGGTTACAGACTCCGCTAACCCAGAAATAGTACTCCGGGTTAAGAACTTTGCTTCAGGATGAGAACAGAAATCGTGCTCCGGCGGCGCAGCAGCAGCAGCAGGAGGAGGCCCCATTAGCTAAAGTGGTGCTTCAGGTTAAGAACAGTTTCAGGTTAAGAACTTACCTCTGGAACGAATTAAGTACTTAACCCGAGGTACCACTGTATTGACATATTAGGAAGTTTAATTAAAAATGGCACCGATCCCGAAAAACACATTTGGTTCATTGTTTCCTTGCGCAGATAAACTAGGAAGTACTTGTTCTACATCTACAGCTGTTTGATTAGGTTAGCTTGTATTGCTCCGTGCAATGTTTTATGAATAGATTTTTGTTGCACTCACTGGTATGATTATGAATATGTGAGCTATTTGGGGCATAATATAATGGACGCGGGTGGTGCTGTGGGTTAAACCACAGAGCCTAGGACTTCCCGATCAGAAGGTCGGCGGTTCAAATCCCCGCGATGGGGTGAGCTCCCATTGCTTGGTCCCTGCTCCTGCCAACCTAGCAGTTCGAAAGCATCAAAAGTGCAAGTAGATTAATAGGTACCGCTCCAGCGGGAAGGTAAACGGCGTTTCCTTGTGCTGCTCTGGTTCGCCAGAAGCAGCTTAGTCATGCTGGCCACATGACCTGGAAACTGTACGCCAAGATCTCCTTTGGCCAATAAAGCGAGATGAGCGCCGCAACCCCAGAGCCGGCCACGACTGGACCTAATGGTCAGGGGTCCCCTTTACCCTTTTACCAATAATGGAAATATGACATACAAATAAACATAACAGGATTCTGATCTCTAAAATCTGCGTTGATGCAATATTTGGTTAGCCAACTGCATTTGGATATTCTCAGGCCATTTGCTTCTTTGTGGTTGTACTGTAGCTCTTTGCACATCTCTGCAAAGTGGGTATAAGTGTGGCACTAAGGGGCAGCTGAATCCTGTCTGCCTGTTTTGCTTTGGGGCATGCCTGCCTCACTCCCTAGGTTTACCTCACCTCCGTGGGTCAGACAGAACATCTAACTTAAATGCAGGTTTATAAAGCCCAATATGCACTTGCCCATAACATTGGTAAATTTCCCATGCCTGGTATTACATGTAGCATCCAATATATGGATGTGAGCTGGGCACAGGGCTAACCTCACTACCCCACTCTGCATTGATAGCAGCCACTTGCCCAAGGTAGGAAAAGTGGCCTATTATTTAACTGTGGTGCAAATAAAATCCTAAGTGTTCAACACATGGGAAAGAAAGTCACAACTGTGTTGGCTAAGGTTTGCTCAATGCACATAAGCTTCTGCAATGCAGGCTCTTAATAAAGAACAAGTTTATGTGTAACTTCCATTTAGCGTGTGGATACGCACACAGAGAATTCCAGCTTTGAGAGGAGCCCATCTAGTTACACTGCTTAATTCAGTTTGACCTTATTTTGGGCCTCATATCTGTTTTCATCCTTACTAGTAGGATGGCAACAGCTGTGAGGAGCATATTACTATCAACGCATTCTTTTCAGTGTCTGCGTAAGGGGTCTCAGGTTTAGCTAAATAAACCTGCAAGAACCATTTGAGGGGGAGGGAGAGGGAGAAATCCACATATCTGGAGATATTTTTTCAAACAGCAACACCACTTCATCCAAATATAATCATATAATCCTAAAATAAAAATAAAAATCATACTCCACCTATTTTGTTACTAATATAAAAGGGGCAACTCTTCTGTTTTGGGTGCCTTCTGTGTACATGTGTCTTGTTTTATTTCAGAATTTCACAGCAAAGGAAGCCAACTGGAGTCCCATTAGGGAATGCAAATTCCCCATGTGCACTCCTGAAATGTTGGGGTCCAAATGGCACAAAATATGATAAAAACATGCCTTTATGCTGATGCCTGTGTTAAGAGATGAATTTCAGAGTGTCTCCAGTAAACGTTTGTTGTTATTGATTCCACCCACAAACCTGTCTTGTTCCACCCATGAGTGACCATGTGGAATTCAGGCATCCCCAAACTCAGCCCTCCAGGTGTTTTGGGACTACAACTTCCATCATCCCTAGCTAACAGGACCAGTGGTCAGGGATGATGGGAAATGTAGTCCCAAAACATTTGGAGGGCCGAGTTTGGGGATGCCTGATGTAGATTCTGTCAATGCCAGTCATGACCCCTGACCCGTTAGAATCTGCTCTGCTCTCTGCCCTCTCTAGTCTTCCCCAGAGAGGCAGTGTTTTGAAGTCTATGACATGGCAACCTTGGGCACAACCTCAGTGCCAATACAACAGAGAGGACCATCCTAACTTGAACCAGGTCTTGCTGTTGGGCTCTTAGTTCTGTTTATTCCCAACTAGTGATTGGGTTATATTGTACATGAAGGCACCGCCTCGTCCGGTAAGTAAACAGGGACTACCTTATACAACATGCTTTTATTTTATATTTTGGTGGTGGGAGTTTGCTCTTTAGCTGCATTAATTCATTGTATCAGTAGCCCTAAAACAAATACCAGCCATCCACACCTGTAGCAGCCCTTGAAGTTTCTGGAATAAACAGCTGCAGGTGAGAAAGATATCTCTCAAACAGGCGACTCTTCTCCTTCCTCTGTCTCAGCTACTGTAGTCAGTGCATGCTGGAAGTCAAGAAAAAAGAGAGAAAGAGAAAGGGAGAAAGTTATCGCTTATTGGAACTTTTAAGATGATCTGTGAAAAAAGCAGGGGGAAAGTGTTTAAATGGCTGTCAGACTACTCAGTGAACAAAAACTCAACCCAAACATTTCAGGGGGTGTTTCTTAGAATTTATCAGATGACACCTGGGGTCCCTCCCAGTCCTACGATTCTGCGATTCCATTATTCTAATATCAGAAATGAGCTCAACTGGGAAAAAGTTGCCTAGAGAGATTGTTGCAGGGAATGTTATGTACCAAGTTTGGATCCTAGAACAATAGGCAGGTAGGATCCTAGAATGCAACAACTGATTGGCTTGTAGGAGAAGACCAATCAGGCTCTAGGAGGAAGTTAATCAGCCTATTAGGCTGGTAGGATCGGAGAATGCAACAACTGATTGGCCTGCAGGAAAAGACCAATCAGGCTCCAGGAAGGAAGCAGAATCAGCCAATCAGATGGGACTCATTGCGTAAATAATGTATATAAAAGCCTGAGGTTTGGGGGTCAGTTCAATCACTGTTTTACAAGCTGTGATAAAGAGCATGAAATCACTGCAGGACTCTGAGTATATTTCAGGGAGGTAAGCATCAGATAGGGGGAGATCTCTCTGTACTCTTTATTCAACCACTCCCTTTATTATTAAAACTAGATAACGCCCCTTGCTTTTTTGTTGTGTTTGTGGCAGATTTTCTGCCATCATATCTAGTTTGGCCCTATAATAACCCAGGCACCAGAGAGTATTCTCTCATTACTGGATCCTTGCATTTTGCCACTTCAGGAGGGATGAGACTGAGGTTATTTTCTCCCTCCACTCACCCAGACCATGTACAAGTATCAGTCCTCTGGAGGCAAAATGCTTGAAAATCACTGCCCCAGAAGAAGAGCAGAGGTGAGCAGCACCGCTCTCCTTGCTTTCTGCCCACACTCTAGTATTCCAGAAACCCTGGCAAGAGTGTCACACCAGTAGCTCATGCTCTCAATGGAATCATGCACTGGAAATGAGAACTAACTTCCAGAGGACATGGAGATGGTGGTCACTACTTAAAGTAAAGGGACCCCTTACCATTAGGTCCAGTCGTGGCCGACTCGGGGGTTGTGGCGCTCATCTCGCTTTATTGGCCGAAGGGAGCCAGCATACAGCTTCTGGTCATGTGGCCAGCATGACTGCCGCTTCTGGCGGACCAGAGAAGCGCACGGAAACGCCGTTTACCTTCCCGCCGGAGTGGTACCTATTTATCTATTTGCACTTTGAGGTGCTTTCGAACTGCTAGGTTGGCAGGAGCAGGGACCGAGCAACGGGAGCTCATGCCGTAGCGGGGATTTGAACCACCAACCTTCTAATCAGCAAGTTCTAGGCTCTGTGGTTTAACCCGCAGCGCCACCTGTGTCCCATGGTCACTACTTAAGTAGCTGTAAAAGGGGATTAGGAAAATTCACGGAGGATAATAAGACTGTTGGTCATATGAAACCAACAACGCCATGGGATCTCTATATTCAGAGGCAAAATGTCAATGAAAACTAGTCGCTGGAGAGAGAACAGGAAACGGGCTCCTGCCTTTGTGTCCCGCTAGTGGCCTTCTTAGAGGAATCTGGTCGTACTTACATCAGATTGTTCAATTTCATCTATCTCGTCAACTCTGCTCAGATGAGGAGCCCCATATTTGTCGGTCAGCTCAGCTAAGGTTTTCGACGGTGTCTCTTTCTCAGCAGCTGCCTTTGCCTACAATTCAAATTCCATTTTCAATACCACGGCGAATCCAAGCGATTTTACGATGTATTCAGCTGAATGAAGCCGTAAATATGTAAGCACACGAAAATCAAGGTGCGAGCCATTCCCCAGCTCCTTTCTCAGACCATTGAGCTGAATGGGTAGTCTCTCCTGTGCACAAAAATTTCATTGAAACAAATGGGACCTGTTTGAGACACACAGCAGCACTTGAGACCCACTGAATTTCTCCCTCTATTCTCTGAGCAATGTGACTAAGACAAAGAGCCACCATAGTCAGCAGAGGCCAATTCTGACTGATTAGATGCTTGCTTGTTTTTCAACGAAAGCATAAAAATGTCTTCTTTGGGAATAATTTAAATAAACTGGTGATATGTAACTTCCCCCTGCTCCACTGCCCAGCAGTTATTGGCCCTTATTGTTATTGCACATGTCCTGTTTAAAGGATGGGAAAACAACTATGGCTTGGCCTTATGTGCAAACACATCCTTCACCATGGTTTGCTTGGGTCATCTAATGTAGATGCTCACCAAACTTCAAACACAGGAGGCAAGAACACTTGCAGGGGGGAGGGGACCCAAATCACAGGAGAAATAAGCCATTCCTCAGCTGAAAGCTGCTGGAACATAATTTGGGAGACGGCTATTTGATGAGTGTTGGCATGCAAAATAGAAATGATCATCAATGACATTTTATCCTACCTCCAACTCTGCTTGTAGTTTCTGCTCCAATAGAAGCTCTTCTTCTCTTTCTCTCTCTAATCTCTCTTGTTCTTCCCGTTCTCGTTCCATTTGTGCCTGCAGCCATATCGTGCAAAAGTGCAAGTTGGTGAAAAGGAATTTCTCCCTTGATGTGCTAGTTTTTTTCTTTCTTTCTTCTTGATTTGCAGGGAGTTTTTGCACGGGGGGGGGGGGGTTGGCATTAAAAAAAATGAGACCCACCAGCCGACTTAGCATTGTGTGCAAACTGAGCCAACTTCTCTGGTGTTCAGTTTAGATTGCTCAATGAAAGTAGAAATCATATAATTTTGCACTTCCTTGCTTTAAGGTCACAGAAGAATTTAAAATATTATACCTTCGTTCCATGTTTAATCAAGGGTTCCCCCCAGACCTATGTATGAATAAATAGTTTATATCATTTAAAAAGGACCAGTTGGCTTTGCTTTATGAATTGTGGGTTGGGATTAGAGATCAGCCAAAGGAAAAATATCCACCCATCCACACATGGTGCACACAAAGGCTGCAATCCTATACACAGGTACCTCGAAGTAAAGCCTACCGAAATCAGCCAGATTTGCTTCTCAGCAGACTTGTACAGGTGTATTAAATTAAATTGCATTAGCTAGTTCAAAAGTACATTTCTGCCCAAACATTACAAACCCTGCTGGTGTCTTTTAATTCATCTCTGAGATATGAACTCTCAAAAATTATCAGTGTATGACCTCAGAACATTCAAAAGAATCCCTTGTTGCAGGCACAATGCTCTTCTGTTCATGCAATGGAAGGCTCAGGTTACCCCCTGGTCCTCAGGAATGTGTGGATGCTAGCCACAAAGGGGGGGAAAAACAGATCTTTATAATAATGCCCCCTTCTGGAAGCACTCACACACAGCTTGGGCTTTTTGACTCTTTCTCTGTTTGGTTGCTCTGCCCTACCTGCCTCTCTTCTTCAAGCTTCTGCTGAAACAAAAGTTCTTCTTCCTTCATTCTTTCGATCATTTCCAGTTCTCTTTTGGCCTCCTCTCGCTCTCGCTCTAGATCTTCCCTTTCCAGTTTCCTCTGGAAATGATTTTTTTTTTTTAAAAAAAGGCAGCATAAGAGAAAACAGAAAAGGAGATACGGAGTTTCACATCTCTGAGCAGCAAAAGGTTCAGGTGACAGAAAATGAGAGGCTCAGATCTATTGCTAAGCAAAAGTATCTGGACTTCACAGTAATATCTTGTCTGCTTACAAATATGCAAGCAGAGCAGGCAGGAGTGCAGTTCCTAGCCTAATAATAATAAGAATAGTAATAAATTAAAATGTAAAAAATTGAAAATTTTGCTTGTTTAGGACTCTCTCCAGCTGCAGAAAGGGGCATAGCTCAGCCTTGACATCCCTATGGTGTAAAGCTCTGCTCAAGTGTTATTAACAATGGCAGTAGTGAACACCTTTAATTTAATAACAGGAATGCCAGGACAGGGAATGGGAAGGAAGTAATTTTAGCTCCTGCCCTGAAAGTATGCGTTATCTCATTCATGGCTCCAGGATTATCAACTGGCCATTCAGCAAGCATCAAATGATGCAAAGCCCATACTTGTGTTTTCACTTAACACACACAAGACTGTTCCCCTAATATAATAACTAGCATTAGTATTTAATATTTGAAGAGTCTGACAATATTAAGTGTAGAAGCAGAGGACTCACGTGGAGTGCATCATCCATATTTTTCCGATATTTATAAATCCACCATGCCAAGTACAGGATTGGGTCTGCTGGCCGACGTTCTGCCACCTTGGCAAGGCCCTCTGCCAAGCATCTGCCTAGGCATTTTTTGAGATATGCAGTCTCCATTTTCAGTTCTCCCAAGTATCTGTGACGGCGATTAGTCCTTTTGGATCTAAAAATGGTGGCAAGCCGTGGGAGGAGGAGGAAAACATTTTGAATAATAGATGTACATTACATTAATTTAACAAACAGAAATATAAGCTGCTTTGACAACCTTTACCGGTTTAAAAAGTTGCCGAGATATTTAAAGAAACCAATAAATTAATAGCTAGCTTTGACCTGGATGGAAATCTATGATTAAAGGCTTGCTCTGTGGAACTTAAAGGTTGCAATTCCTAAGAGTTTATTTCAGGCTAGTGCTAACCACCCCTGAAATCCTTCTGCATAAGCCCTGTGAAAATGGACAGGAGCTGCAGAACAGAACAGAAGCCAGACTTTGAGGTGGATCAGGCCCATGGTAGGTAATCCAACCACACTGATGTGTAAACTGACCTTCGGTTGAATTAGCTCAATGCAGATTCCAGAGCCTATACAAACTAAGTAGGTACTAAACTGCCATTTGATATCTATTTAAGAACATGGAAAGAGTACTTACTAAAAGACAACTCACACTCATATGAAGAGGAGAACTTTGTTCCTGATGCAAGGGTGACTAAACCCTTACTGGTATTTTCTTCACTCTTGTCTATAGAATAAGCTCTGTGTGTATCCAAAGATGGAAACAGTTAGGTCTGGATGCTGCTGTTTGGTATCCTAGCAACGGACCAGTATTCTAGCCCTATGCCGCTATCTCCCTGAAGATTCTGTATCTCCTTCCTTCTTGGATAGATAGTATTTCTTTGTGTCTTTTATTGTTATCAATTGGAAAAAGAATATATGAAGTTGAAATGTTTACATTGCATTACTTTATTTTTGGATATCTGTATTAATCTGGGTAATTTATAAGCTTGCACATTACTGTATTCAGAAAAGGAAGGCTTGTAAAAAAAAACCTCCACCTTTGAAAGATAGGTTAAAAAACCCTTTTATTCCTTTCCTTTCCACTAAGGTAAACACATCAATAGTCCACTTGTAACAAGAAATGACAGGTACTTGTTTTGACCCACTTTATACAAGAAATTAATGCTAATTTCAGCCTCCATTATATACAGCTAAGTGGGTCCCTTAGCTGCAACAAAAAGGTAGGAATCATACACACTGTTTAGGCTGTTAAACTGGGTGCCAGACCCCTTTAATCCCTGGATCCAGCAAGTGTTAGAATTTAATCAAGGCTTCCAATTCATGGAATAGCCAAGCTAGCCTCCTAGTGAGGGTGATAGCCTGTGTGACAATTAAGGGGGATTAAGGGGTTTGGTGCGAGACAGCAGGTGGGTGGGGGTCCTTCCCCCAACAGATAAAGCCAGGGTTTAGAGTAGAAAGTTTCAGAGCAGTGATAGGACCTAGAAGTAAGGCAGCAAGGTGGAGAAAATGTCAGAGAGCACTGTTTGATGTCTGTTTGAATCCAAGTCTGCAGCTATGGGAGAAAAAAAGTCCCTTTTAGGGTGATGAGGCTGGGATTGTAGGCTCAGTGTGAATAACCCATATATCATAAAGACACCATAGTCTCCGCTGTGCCTCATTCCAAAAGGAAACATGAACCCCGGGGGAACACCTGGATTCTTGCACCGCTTGAAGATTGGAGTGACATGCAACAACACCAAAGAAGGAAGGGGACACATACAGAAGTGATACAACTTCTGTTGGGCACACCAAGTGTTCACAAATACAGATGTTCAGAAATAGCTGGGGGACTTCCACAACAATCTGTGGGGAGTGTTCTACCACCACATTTCTTTCTCATGCAAGCTTGTGCAGGCTTTTGTACTGCACTCTTCTTTAGAAATCCTAGAATAGTGATTACTCGCAAGTGAAGCTGGGCCAAATGCTTTTAATCATTATTTTGCATTAAATGTCCCTGCCTCAAACGTTACAGCCCAATCCTATGCATGGTTAAAGGTAAAGGGACCCCTGACCATTAGGTCCAGTTGTGGCCGACTCTGGGGTTGCGGCACTCATCTCGCTTTATTGGCTGAGGGAGCCGGCGTACAGCTTCTGGGTCATGTGGCCAGCATGACTAAGCCGCTTCTGGCAAACCAGAGCAGCGCACGGAAACGCTGTTTATCTTCCCACTGAAGCGGTACCTATTTATCTACTTGCACTTTGATGTGCGTTTCAACTGCTAGGTTGGCAGGAGCAGGGACCGAGCACAGGAGCTCACCCCGTCTCGGGGATTCGAACAAGTCAGCAAGTCCTAGGCTCTGTGGTTTAACCGACAGCGCCACCCGTGTTTGCATGGTTACTGAGCGATTTAGCTGTTAGTTACTTTTCAATCCAGGTTCTCAATGTGTAACTCAGCTGGTTAGAGTGTGGTGCTGATAACGCTGAGGTTGCAGGTTCAATCCTTGTATGGCACAGCTCCTGCATAGCAGGGGGTTGGACTAGACGATCCTCAGGGTCCCTTCCGACTCTACAATTCTATGATTCTAATACATAAAAACCTCATGAGAAGAGAAGACTCCCTGGAAAAGACCCTGATGTTGGGAAAGATTGAGGGCACAAGAAGGGGACGACAGAGGACGAGATGGTTGGACAGTGTTATCAAAGCTACAAACATGAGTCTGACTAAACTGCGGGAGGCAGTGGAAGACAGGAGTGCCTGGCGTGCTCTGGTCCATGGGGTCACGAAGAGTCGGACACGACTAAACGACTTACAACAACATTACATAAAAGCTATAGACTGAAATAGTACACGGACAATGCCTTCTGGCTTACAACCCAGGCATCTGGGAATGGGTAAGATGTATTGCACATTTGAATTTCTGCTGCTGGTGCTGGTTTTATTTGTAACTGAAGTCTATATTTTGTTTTAAGTTTTTGGCTGTGTTTTTTTTTTATAAAAAATGTCAAATTTACACTGTGTACATTTCCACCCTGGCACTTTTGAATGGAGAGCGGGTCGTAAATACTTTCAAGAAGCAAAAATGTTGTTAAAAAATTAACCATTTCAAGAATCGTGTTGCGCAGTTGGGTTCAAGCTCAAACTCTTCTTGCACAGCAGCGCCTTCCAATCTTGAAGAATTGGGCTCTGCTATCTCCTCCTATGTCCATCTCATGTACAACCAGCTAGTGTGCTTTTCTGTTTCCACGGTAATAATACACAAAACAGGATACCCCGACGAGAGCAAAGGGATTCTCTGTCTCTCTCTCCTTTCCTATCTCTCTGCTGCAGGCAGGGAGACGTAACGGGACCCTGAAGAAGACAGCAGCCGGGCTTCTCTTCTTTTTAACTTCCCTTTCCTATCTCTTGTGATGCCGGGAGACGGAAACAGTAGGCGTGCGGCGATTAAGCCAATGAGGCGGCATCAGCAGCACGTGCGCGCGCAGCCGAGACGCTTGTGGACGTACTGCGCCGCCTCGTGGGCAGGGCTGTGCCGAGTAAGGCGTCCCAGTTGCTAGGCGACGGAGAACCCGAACCCCCGCGATCGGGCCCCATAAGGCAGAGTGCAGACCGGCGAAACTTAAGCGGATTCGCAGGGGGCGCTTGGCTGGCTAGTGGTACGGTGCAGATTTATTTATTTACTTTGGAGGGGGTAGTAGTATAAATGTCATTTATAAAGCTACCTAAAAAATTTAAAAATTCTGTACCTGGGACACATTTTTTTTCTTTTTTTTCTGAATTAATTTTTAAGTAGACTTTTAATATAAAGGGTTTATTTAATTGACTGGGTTGCAAAAGGCTTCCTTGCAAAGTTTTAAAACTTCTGCTCACTTTGGTCCCATAAAAGGTAAGGCTTTGTTCGGCGTGCCCCAATCTTTGGGGCACCCACCGGCTAGCAATCGCTGTTTCTTACCGAGTCTTTGGAAAAGGAATGATCAGGGGTGTTAATAGAATCACAGACTCAATCATGGAGTTGGAAGGGGCCCCGAGGGTCATCTAATCCAACCCCCTGCAATGCAGGAATCTTTTGCCCAAGTTGGGGCTCGAACCCACAGCCCTGAGATTAAGAGTCGCATGCTCCACCAAATGAGTGTAGCCATAGTTCCTGTGAAGGGCTGTCAGGATCGCCAAGATGATGCGATCATTGTGCTATGCAAATATTAAGTAACTGGTCTTTTCTCTTTTTCCTGCTCCGTTTGCATATACAGTGGTACCTCGGGTTACAGACGCTTCAGGTTACAGACTTCGCCAACCCAGAAATAGTACCTCGGGTTAAGATCTTTGCTTCAGGATGAGAGCAGAAATCGTGCGGTAGCGGTGCGGCGGCAGCAGGAGGCCCCATTAGCTAAAGTGGTACCACAGGTTAAAAACAGTTTCAGGTTAAGAACGTACCTCCGGAACGAATTAAGTACTTAACCGGAGGTACCACTGTATTTATCTCCCATTGGATTTGTGGGAGGCCCCTTCTGGCATCCCTCCTGTGCATGCAGAGGTGCATCGGCAGGGCAGTTGCTTGTGCCTAATGGTGTATGTAAATGATCCAACTGGTTTAGCTCCGGTAACTATCTATAAAGGTAAAGGGACCCCTGACCATTAGGTCCAGTCATGGCCGACTCTGGGGTTGCGACGCTCATCTCGCTTTATTGGCCGAGGGAGCCGGCGTACAGCTTCCAGGTCATGTGGCCAGCATGACTAAGCCGCTTCTGGCGAACCTGAGCAGCGCACGGAAATGCCGTTTACCTTCCTGCCGGAGTAGTACCTATTTATCTACTTGCACTTTGACATGCTTTCGAACTGCTAGGTTGGCCGGAGCAGGGACTGAGCAACGGGAGCTCACCCCGTCACGGGGATTCAAACCGCCGACCTTCTGATTGGCAAGTCCTAGGCTCTGTGGTTTAACCCACAGCGCTACCCGCATCCCTACTAACTATCTATACCCATATATATTACAAATTTAATAAATAATAAAAAATGTTTTCATTCGCTGCAGAAAGCAAAGTATGCTTTGAAAATACAGCTGAGATGTATGAAAGTGCAGGGAGGACGTTGGCAAAGGCGGAAGGTAAAGAAACCTGATTAGAGTGCAGGATCTTGGGAATTATTTCCAGAACATTGATTTTATTAACTTGGAAGGAAGGGATGTGATCTGGCAAGAGTTCACCCAATGTACCATATCCATGCAGAGCTTGGCACAAGATGGGGATGGATGTCAAATACCTCAAGGAACGCATAGGAAGATGTTTGGCTGAGGGACTTGCGGAAGCGGCGGACCGTCGGCCTGTGGACCCAATCGATTTCCTGGCACACTTTATTTACAACTACAAGAACAGATTAAATGAAGAAGAAAAGGTAATGCATCTCTTCTTAATTTAAAAGAAAACACTGAAGAAAGCTAGCATCAAGGAGACAGGGTTTCCATTAATCCTTTGTGCATTTCCCCAATACTTTGTGCTTTTTTTAGAGGAAGGTAGAGAGGGCTGAGTTGGAACGTGAGCATGAAGAAGCCCTTGCAGAAGCGAAGAGGATAGAAAAGCTGAAAGCAGAAGAGCTCCTGGTTGCCAAGAAATTTGAAAAACAGCAGCAGGTCTGAAACCCTTTCCTAAGCAATATTAAGTTTACCATATGAATAGGTGAGATGATCTGTAATGACAGCAGAGGGCCCAAAATAAGCCAGTAATACCATTGTAGTGAATGGCAATTGGGTTTTAAATGATGAGTGGCTGAGACACCATCAACCATTTGTTTTAGTTAGCTAAATCACATTTTTATTTTACAAAGATCATTAAAGAGCA